GGAACGTTTAAACAAGGAACGAACCCAGAGAAGGACTCACCAAATGCGCGCGAGGACGGAACGCTCAAAAGCGCTCGAAAGTCTTCGGTGAAACGCTTTTTCGTGTTCGTAACTTTTTTCTTAGCAAAACAAATCATGCGACTTTTTGATATGTATAACTAAAGCATATTTCACAATATCCATCACAATTTGCCTGCAAAGCAACAGTATTCACATAATTAAGCGCAAGGTGTTTGTAGCAGCAGTAGACTTGGCTGAAGGCAAGGTTAGAGACATCTGCGATTTTTTGCATATTATATGCGTTTTTTTAACACTGGGTTCGGCATTAACGCTCGTACACTTTAGACATGGCAAGAAGGAAGGAAATCCCGGATGGACTCCGCCAAGCAGCTGTGGGTATGAAGGAGTCAGGAATGAAAGTCAACGCCATTTCAAGGATCTTGAGATTAAACAGCAGACAGTATCACCGATAATTCAACGATATCAGGTCGGGAAATCGGTTGGTGATGCTTCGAAAACGGGGAGGCCTCGTTGCACTACAGCAGGACAAGATAGGAGCATCATTCGGAGTTCGAAGGCTGACTTACTGCTGTTGACACTGCCGCTGAATTCAATGCGAGCCATGCCACGACGGTAAGTCGGCAAATCGTGGGAAGACGCCGCCTGAACAGTGCAGGAATCTATGGAAGGCGCCCCGCCAAAAAGCCGCTCATAATGATGAAAAATGGAAGAGCTAGAGTGGACTTCGCGCGCCGCTACCTCAAGTGTACTCCAGCTGACTGGGGTAAAGTACTGTTCACGGACGAAAGCAAGTTCAATTTGTTTGGGAGTGGCGGTATAATATTTGTACGACGTCCTTGTGGCGAAAAGTACAACCCAAGATACACGCGACCTACAGTCAACCATGGTGGAGGGTCCGTCATGGTGTACGCCGCGATATTACTGAATGAAATGGACAAATTTTTGGGAATTAGCGGCGTAATGACGGGGGAATCGTACAGGGATATGGTAATCAACACTGTGTTGCCATGGGCTCAGGAGAGCATGCCTTCAGGTTGGGTTCTACAGCAGGATAATGACCCGAAACACACTTCAAAAGCAGTGAAGGCGGCTTTCCAAGAGCAACTAGTCACAGTTATTGAGTGGCCGAGCCAGTCCCTGACCTGAATCCCATAGAACACATAAGGGAAGAGCTTGGAAGGCGCTGTTCCAACAAATGGAGTGCGAATAAGAAAGACAGGTTTGCTGAACTCGCGGTTGAATGGCGTGCCATGCCCCTGTCTCTCGTTCGGAAGCTCATCGACTCGATGCCCTCCCGCTGTAAAGCTGTGACCAAGAGCCGTGGTTTTCCTACCAAGTATTGATGTTGTTGATTGTTTGAGATGTTATTCATCCAAAATGAAGCGGGTTTTCTTCAACCAATGTTAACCGTATCTCCAGTTGATTTTGAGTTCAAGCTCTTTAATATATCTGGATCATGGCCAGGAAAAGGACAAGAATGAGCCACCTGATCACATGCATTTATGCCTGCAGGAGTGTCAGTACGGCCATTCAGCTCTCAACCATGATTGAAGAATCACAACGAATTTCATATCATGTGATTCGACTGAGTG